TCATGAAATCCTCCGGTTCCATGGTGGTAGCCGCACACTTTCGCAACCACTGGTTGAGTGTTAAGCGGTAGTCGCCACAATTTCGCGGTGTTTTGCAGTTATTTTTGATTGCGATCACGATTGGCGCTGCCCATGTACTGGATGTGACTCGTGTGATTGTACCATCGCGTTCCATTTTCTCGAGGGTCTGTATTACACCATCATGCTGGCCGTAGGGAATTACATGTCGTTTCAGGAAAATGGGTTCACCATCAACTTCCAGTTTGGCCGGCTGTACGTTCATACCTCCCGTATTATTGGAACATTTCACAACCAGGTGCTGTAGAGGGGTGTGCATATTGGACAAAGAGTTTGTATGGAGCGACACACCATGGTTCAATTCACGAATGGCGGTTAGGCCAAGTATGGACGGACTGTGTTTAGGAACTAGGAGACGAATGGGAACAAGGCGATCTTCTGTTGAGTGAACCATCAATGAAACCTCCCCAATCAATGGTAATTGGTGTCCAGTTACACCAAGAATTCGCATGGATGTCGGTTGGATTTCTGCTTGGGGGTATATGGATCGAAGCACAGCATTAGGAATAATAGATTCCGTACTTCCCGTGTCAACAATGAGTTGTGAGTTGTACCAGACTGTATTGTCACATCTCGGTACAGAAATTGGGTGGCTGGGCTTTAAGAACAGAGAGAGCACAAGGTGTGTGTTGTTTGAAGCATTTGGCTGTGCAAGATTGCAACGAGTTTGTTTACATACTCTCCGAATCTGGCCAAGTTTTCCGCAAGTATGACATTTGGCGTTACGAAAGCGGCAATTGGAGAGTAGGTGATGAGCTCCACAAGACAAACACGGATTGATTCGTTATTCATTACCTGGGGAATCTTTCTGCGGCTTTGGTGCACGTTTGGCCGTTGGAGGTCGATTTGGTGGAGTCTTCTGCCGTTAAAGTAATGTGACTGCTTCGCTGGAAGTGGCCTTCCTCAGGTCATCATGCTGTTCACAAAGTTTCCGGGCTTCGGCAAAAGTTAAATCCTTCTTCTCCAGTAACTTGCGTTGCAGACTGAGATTGTTGATGCCCGCTACCAAACCGTCACACATTTGTTCTTCCGAACGATCGTCGTAGTTGCAGCGTGATGCCTGTCTGTTTAGTTGCAGGATAAAATCACGGCAAGACATGTAGTCAGCACGGATCATGGAATTGAATTTAGCACATTCGTGGGCTTGGAATTCAGTAGGCAGCAGGTGGTTCAGCAGGAGCGATTTCAAGGACTCGTATGGCAGTTTAGCGGGAGCCTCGGGAAATGCCAGGTTTCTTAGCAGCGACTACAGATCACGGCCTCCAGCAGTGATAAATAGGACCGATTGGTTTTGCAAACCACCTTTTCGAATACCGCACCACAGTTGGAATCGCTCTACCCATTTCTTGATCTCGAATGGACTGGCTTTCAGGTTTAATTGTTCAATATTTGGAAGCTCCATTGCGCGACGCCAATTTGTAATGATTGTAGTAGGAGTAGGAGTAGTAGTAATACGCACGAAATTCAGAACACCAACCATGCAATATGAATTACCGGACCCGAATCGATANCCAGCACTTTTCTTTTTATACAACAAAGGATTTCTATCTGCTGGTTCTTATCACTTCAGCAACCTCGAGCATTTCGGCGTTCTCTCGATCGACGAGGTATTGCATTATCAACAAGGCTTTGAACTCGATGTTTTGTATGCATGATCCCCGCGTCAGTAACCGGCTATGTTGACCCTGACACAGCAACCTCGCGCTGAACCGCACCAAAAGTCTTTTTCCGCGGGTTTCAATCAAATGAAACGGTCTATGAAGGGGCGAAGTGTGACACACCCTTTGGACATATCGTGTAAGACGGTTCGGAATACATCGTTTTTGGTTTACTTTTAACTGCCTGTTGTCAGGATTATACTAAACAAAGTTTCTGATATTGTGTACGTGTGTGATACAGAGAGCAAAAGGTGCTCCTTCAAATGAAGTACATCGACAGATTCAGTCACACATGTGTACGGGTAACACTGAACAACTGCTCAGGCAGGGCAAAACCGTTCTGTGGAACATTCATTAAACGGTCAATTTTACCCGTGTATTCATTGCCCTCTATAGTCGTAATAATCGTAGTAATACGCACGGAATTCAGAACACCAATCACGCAATGTGAATCACAGGACCCGAATCATTAATCAGCTATCACGGACTGGATCAAAGAAGCACTGGACCACACTGGCATGGATTCGCAATGTCCCACGAGAACGAGACGCGAGGAAAAGGCCGCCGGAATGGTAGTAAGCAGTAGTTCATTCATTGGAAGAAATGAGGGTGATTGAATAATATGTACAGAAGAAGATTATTGGCTACCTGGGCTTCCACCAATTGGATTGCAACATATATGTACAAAAGAAGATTATTGGCTACCTGGGCATCCACCAATTGGATTGCAGCACTGCTTTTAATGTGTACAAAAGAAGATTATTGGCTACCTGGGCATCCACCAATTGGATTGCAGCACTACTTGCATATTGCTTCTGTCTGACTGTCTTGGATTGGCTGGCACCATCCACCAATGACGTGTATTCAGAAGCCATGCGCGTGTCATTGACGTCAGCATTCAAATTTGATTGATCGCAAATGTCCTGAAACTATAACGCGCCGCCCCAGGGTAGGCGCCATCGTGTAGGCCTGGATCACCACATTAAGTCTCTACTAAATAGACCAGGATGTCATATGTTCGAGTCCTACTACTGTTGCCCATCTTCTCTACCTCTGTATTCCCTTAGACAGCTTTCGATTGATCAAATCCTCTCCCGGAAACGCGGTGATATCATTTTATGGTCAATAAATGAACAGAAAGATGAAGGTTATCATTGATTAATACTTTCAAATATCACCCCAAATCGACCGAAATATAGTAATCATAATATAAATTGTAATCGGCTACCAGAATGCGCAATTTACAGTCAGAAGGCCCCGAATGAAGTGGTTAGTTGATTGAGAGAAATCTACTGGGTAAACAAGAATGGTATTTTTTGCCACGACTTCATCCAGTCTGCATTCACATTTGCGTGGGCGTATTACTTTGATTGCGTCGCAATGAATCTCATTGGGTCCTGGGCTGGTGTCCTCTCACAGTGTTTGATCACGATGCTAGATTTACTTTTTACCATTTAATTAACCA